CAATTTTTAAAAATGGTAGTAGGAACAATGTGTAGAACTCCCTCCCTTTCTATTTTCTTTTTAGACAAAAATGTTAAAATACTTTAGAAGTAGAAGAACATGAGTTTATTCTTTTTCTAATTGTTGCACAAACTAAGAGGGGGCACAACACATTCCAAAATTGAGTTTATTTTGTTACAGTGTTAAAAATATCAGTATCACCAAAAGATAAATACTATAATTTAGAGTATTCATAATTTAGAGTATTACCAAGACACAAGAGCCATAAAAAACGATACAAAAATTTTTGATGATAGCAGCTGACAGATGTTTACTAAATTCCTTCAGTTATAATGATCAGTAAAACGAAAAGATTTGGCTTCTGGCATATTATACAGGTAGTTCTGTAAGTGTTTCGAACGCCTTGCTTCTAGTCGTAGCTGTCTAGCTCTCTCTTCAACAGCCTGCTGCTCTGCTATTTTCTCTATTCGTTTCCTTCTTAGCCATCTGTAGAAAGAGGCATGTTTAGATTTGGTGAGTATCATCTAAATACACTTGTCATGGTTTAGGTAAGAAATCGACTTTTCTACACTGAAATAGTGTCACAACATGCATTGTTAAAGCATTAAGTGAAACTCTCCAGGCATAGACTGCAAGCTCATTCAACAAAACATTATTACATTTTGGATCAACTGTGTAAAATTAGATTTGTCTTATGATGCTAAAGATTCTCTCTTTTTAGAAATACGGGTTTCTAAGCAAATAACTATTTTGTATGTTCCACAAAACAATTTTTAATTAGCTATTCTTTAAAACAGGCTGACTATGATTGGAACTACTAACACAAGTCAGAAATCTTGCCTTATTCTTCCTGGTAGGGAAATCATATATCTCTCTTTTTTCAATGCATAAACTAGTTCTTCCTTAAAATGAAAAAAATAAGCCTAAGCAGGAAAACATCCAAAGACATAAAGGAAGAGTACATATTATAAAAAATCAAGTAAGCTTCATTAGTTAAGATACCATAGAAAATAACTATACAGACATACACCTGGTACATAAGCATTTATGTGGTATGTGTATATAAATATATGTACATGTAAGGGTTTTTTAGAAATAAAATTAAATAACTATTAAAAAAGACAAAAAAATCAAACTTTTGTATGGTCCTTAACTGGATCCGACTTTGAGCAAATTATTTTTAAGTCATTTACAGGTAAATTGGGTTAAAAAAGGTGGAAATGGGCTGGATATTATCAGATCACCATAAATTAAGCAGACTATAGAAAATATATCTAGCATGATATTAATTCATATATATATGTGTGTGTATATATATATATATATATATATAGAGAGAGAGAGAGAGAGAGAGAGAGAGAGAGAGAGAGAAATATCTAGAAAATATGCTTTCTGGAGTTAATGTTCATGACAATTTCTACTTCCTCAATGGACATTTACCATTTCTGTTATAATAAAAGGTGAGACAGGGACAAGGGGAAAAAATGAGAACCAAGACCTGTTATTTAAAGGTACAAGATCCCAATGATGAACGTAACTGTACTGTATACCTAAAATGTACCAATAAATTCAATGAGAAAAAAATAATAATAAAAGGTGAGAGAAAAGAGGACAGAAAGGGGAGAGGGGGTAAAGAGGGAAGAAGGAATGAAGTTAGTTCAAGTAAGTAGACTCAATACTGTTCTGTCTCCCCCACTCTCCTCAAGGATAATTAACAAAATTATGAAGCCAGGCCTGTGTTCTCATAATTAATGAAGCAATGCAGAGTCCCACCCAGGCAAATGAAAAGAGATCAGGTTAGCCTTTGAAAATAAAGTCTTGCCTTTAACTTACTGTTTAAAAGCCTTTTCCTGGCCTTCTGTTCCTTTAAGGAAGAATAAGCATTCCTCTTGCTTTCTTAGTTCTTCTGACTTTCTTTCTTTCATCTGCTCCTCATGCTTTTTCTTAAGCCATAATCGAAAAGCTTCTTGCGGATCTCTATCTTCCTGCTGATAAGAAAAGCAAGCTTTTCTTAATTTAGACAAAACAAAACTACCTTTTCAGGCTTTGATTGTAGAACCCTACAAGAATACTTGTCCCACTCCCCCATTTTTAATAAAAATGTCAACCTCATTACCTGTAATCCTAGTATTTGAACAAAATCAAATGTATCACCCTGAATCAGAAATACTGATTATCCTTCAGTTGGGAAATTTAACACTGAGATCACTGCCATCTGTTTTCTTCCAAAAATCTTGAGAGAACTTTGATAGCATGGTAAAGTGCTTATCTAGTGTTTTTGAAGCTCCTGAGTTTGAAAAAAAAAATTTATTGAATAACTGGTAAACAAAGACAGTTTAAAAACTGTGATTTTTCAAAGTTAAACCCTCTGACAAGACAATTTTCACAAAGTGTCACAGTGTGCAAAGGATGAAAAATTACTTGGCATTGAAATTTAGCTTAGCTTAGCTTAGCTTCAACTCCAAGAGGCCCAGAGGGACTGCTTCATTAAGACCTATCAGCACGAAAAAGTCTCAGGAAAATAATGCCTACCTGAGAAACTCCTGGACTTTTATTTATGACCCAAGGACATAAGAACAAAGATGCAGAAGAAAAACATTTGTGTAGGAGTTTTGGTCAGTGGATGGGTCTGGAACAGGATGGTCTGCTACATGATGCACGTCAGTTTAAGAGAAGAAAGCTTATCTGGGCAAGAGGAACACAATGGCTGGACCAAACATTCCTAAGAATAACTTGTTGTTGATTCTGCTCAGCTACTGCCCTGCAGATTTTGCTCTAATCTTTAACCATGCATTCCAAGAGCCTTGGGCTGTTGCTCTAACGTCCCTTGGTCTCTTTACACTTATTTCAATCACTCTTCCAACCAGTTTTCTCACAACAAAGGAACAAATATATAAAACAAGGAACTGAAGAAAGGCTAGAGATAGGTTGTATGAATAGAGTTGAGGTCTTTGGAATAGTTCCCAATGGAGCTCCATGGAATATAGTTTACAAATATATGGTCTAACACTTGTGTTATTCATCCTTTAAAAATATCTAACTTTTTAAAATTGAAAAGTATATGTCAGAAACCACTTAACTACTAAGCATATTTTATATTTTTAATTGCTATTACAGAGCATAGGCACAAGGATTTTAAGCAATAAAAATGTTCTCATTAAGGGTCACAACCACAGGTATTCTGATATAAGAATGAACTACTAGGTGTAGTTTTCACTGTGATCCCTCAAACTCATAATCCTCAGGTAATTTTCAAAAGCTATAAAAGCTCTTACTTGAGGGACTAGGGAAGAGAAAAAGAACATATTTGAGGCTCTTTAGCCTTGGTGAAAGTATTACTTATTATCTGGATAGTTAGCTAGGTCACAAAAGGAAAGGATGCATTCATTAAATACTTGCTTCAAATACAAGCCCTGATAGAGAAGATCTTTTCTTCCATTTTAGTTTTTCCTATCTATAACCCATATTGTCAAGTCTAATTTATATGATCTATATAATTCAGGATCTTTGATTTACAAAGAAATTTAGGGATTTAAAGGATTACAGCTGAATGCTGGAAAGTTTGAGACTAAATGGAGATGACTGAGAAGTACACATGTTGGAATTATAGAGTTAAAGAGTAAAGAACACTGGGATGAACCTGAATGATGGGATAATGTAATTTGTTTTGTGATTTAATTTATTCAACAGAAAGTTAGACATCATATAGCACATACTGGCTTTCATTAGTGAACAAGAATAAGATTCCACCTCTTGTACATCCTATTCCTGCACTATACTATAGTAGCCACTAGTCACACGAAACTATTTAAATTAAATTCAAATTTTATGCCAGGTGTGGTGGCACATACCTGTAGTCCCAATTGCTTGAGGCTGAGGCAGGAAGATTCTTTAAACCCAGGGGATTGAGTCCAGCCTGGGCAACGTGGCAACATGGCAAGACTTCATATTTATGCACACGCTCTCTCTCTCTCTCTCTCTCTCTCTCTCTCTCTCTCTCTCTCTCTCTCCCCACTCTCCCTGTCTGTCCCTCTCCCTCTCTCTCACATACAAACACACACACACACACACACACACACACA